AACATCTGGTACTGGTAAATGAACCTGCTAATTCTACATTTCAGAAACCTGGAAGACTCGATAGAGGATCACAGCTGCACTTTGTAAGTAACAGCCACTGCTTTAGAAGTCTGTAAACTCAGGATAAAAAGCTGTAAGACAATGGGATGCTGAAGACAGAATGAGAGAGCAAAAAGTTACAGCAGCAGAATTCTCAACCAGTGCAAGCAGCAGTCTTCACACACCTGGCTGCTACACCACTGTATGTAACACTGCAGCACAATGGAGAAGGTTTAGACAACTTTCTGAGGAACTCCTTCAGTTCTGAATGAAGATAATTATACCTCATGCAAAAATCTATGTTAGAATATCTCAAAAGAGACTGATCAAGACTGGAATAAAAAAGATTCAGTCTGGTTATCATACCAGGTGAGATGATGCAGTTCCTAAAGCAGACAAACCAAATTGTAAGGAAGTGAAAGCCAGTGGACAAAAGATGGAGAAATTATCTTTATGGCATCATTTTTTTTAACATCCATTAAGCAATACAGCATTTGCCAAGCTCTCAGAAGAGACAGATCCTAGAAAACACCTTAAAATGTGTGAAAGGGGAACAGGCGGGAAGTAATGGCAATATTAGACACAGCCTGAAGGCACAGAATTATAGAATGGTGTAGGTTGGAAAAGACCTCTAGGACAATGTGTCTAGGATTTCTTAAGCCAAAAAATCAATTTTCCTATTATTTTAAAATCTCAGAATTCTTAAGCCGTTCCTACCTGCTACACACATTACAATCCTTTTCCACAAGAACTGTAATCTGAGATAAAATCTGTAAATACATGGATTATAAGCAGATGGTACTTTAAATAAAACTTCAATGAAAATTGAGTGAAAAAAGGAAAAAAAAAAGGGAAAAAAAGTGCTACTGTTTTAAGATAAATTCCATGGTGTTTGATGTTAAAATTACCAACTTTGGCTGCAGCTAAATCAAATGTAATTTCTTAAGACACAGCACAATCTTAAAAAAGGGCTTTAAAACAAAAGGTATTTTTTAAAAGGTATAGTACTCTACTTAACAATAATTTCCTCTTACCAAGGAGGTTCACAATTTCCCTGCAATCCTGTAAGAATCTCACATTTTTCTATTTAACCAAAATGTATTATCTTTGATGAGAATAATCTAAACCAGCATTTTCCCCCAATGTATTTTGTGCAACATTCAGAATACTCATTATGACTTACATATAAAAATCATATTTTATCAATGCATACTTCATGCTGTCCAATGCCTCTGTTGCTTTGCAACCTCTGAAAATACCTCAGGAAAGACAGCATTTACTTTTTGATAATTTAGAAAATTTCTGATTTTCATTTATCCTATTAATTAATTAATTTAGCTGGACTGAGGAAATTGTATTCTGTCTTTTCTGGTTTTGATCTGAGAACCCTAGAAAAATAAAAATGTATAAATAACCACCACAGAGCTATGCAAAGTATATGAAATCTTATATGCCTTAAGACTTTTTAGTGCACTAATAAATATCTACAAGCTTCAATAAACAATCTTCTCTATTTTGCTGTTTCTAAGTACTTAATTAGCTGTGCAAAGATAATGAAACCCACTTTTTTATAGAACTTAATTTTACAGATACACTGTTATGTCTCTAGTTCTTCCATAACTGCAAGTGGTTATGGTTGTCTTACAAAACTGGAGCTCATTTTTCTAATTAGTGTACTAAGATCCTGAGGTTTGATATATTGAAAGAAGCTATCTCTAACAAATATTCAAATGCAGCATATCCTGGAAATCTAGAAAAAATACTTAAACAAATTAGTTGATTTTAAACGTAAGAAAAGGTTCTAAACTGTGCTATTTGATAAAACAGCCAATTTCTCCAAATTTGCTGTCATAATTCAGAGCTAGAGTGTGACCCACAAAACATAATATATCCTAAATCCATTTAACAGCAAGATGATTCCTTCATTTTTATCTCACCTTTAATCCTATTGGAGTTTTCTGAAAAACTGGAAAGGTCAAACATCTAATAATTTAATTTATATAACATGTTGTCCTTTGTCACATCATATCAGATTGATGGAATATTTACTTAATTTACAGTACTATTAATGTAATTAGTATATTATGTCCTCTGGTTTAAATTTTGTCCTCATTTTCAGCAAGGAATCTGGAGAGACTTTCTATTTTATTAAGGGCAGAATTTGAACAGTTAGCTATGTCTCCTTTGTGTTTGTTAGAAGTATTTCCTGACTGTACATCAACTGAAATTTTTGCAGGATTTGTTAAAATATACCATCCTTACTGACTCCTCCTCTTTTGTATTTATGCACCAAATCAAGTTATCTACAATCTAGACACACTCTTAAAAGAGATAGCATTGGGTCGGAGTATCACCTGTTAGAGAAATTATAGCTAAAATACAGTTGGACAGCCAGGTGTACTTGTCTTCAGGACTGAAGCTCACAACTCCTCAGGTATTTGTCATGGGAGTGCAATTTCATGTATGTGTCATTTAGAGGTCATCCTGCACATGTCTCTGAACTCTTATTTTCTATATATGTCCCCTTATCCAAGAGTTAAATTTCTCAGAACTTTTAAATCTGGACTCCTTCAAGGGCATGAAAATAGAAACAGTTCCCAGCACCACCTCACATATATCCAGTGAGAGACACTAACAAAGACTCCCAATTAAGTGCAAGCTCATCTGATTTAAAATCAGATGTATTTCTCTTGACTAAGGTAAACAAAGAAACAGATCTACAAATGACCATCCATCAGGCACTACATTTTGAAATAAAAATCAGAAGTCTTTATTTCCTAGAAGATCATATAACCACCACCACCCGCTTTGTCCCCCCAAATAGAAAGTAGTACTTTTTAATGATTTCTTTTTATTCATTAAAGTTGTATTAATGAAAAGTATTAAGAGGATGGCATGACACAAATGATTAAACACTACACTTTTCTTTGTAAAAATGTACTACAGGAAATGAGGCAATATGCAGTGGACAAATTAGAAAAAGAAAGTAGGCCACCTTACAAAAATCATAGTTTAATCAGGCCATGAAAGCAATGAGAAGGAAATAGCAGAACACTATAAATTGTCAAGTCAGACATTTTAATTTCAGCATGAGCCACATAGACCAAAGAATGATTAGATTCTATCCTAGTATCACACTGATGGCATACATACTAAGAAAGTAGAACATTCACACACACTCCCTCCACTTTCATGCTAAAATTTCAGTACTGCTCCACAATTTAAAACTAAGCATGAAAGCATCCCTTGGCTGGTTACCAAAGTCTTCAAGTTACACTACTGTCTTCCCTCTTGAGCTTGACACACCTCAGTGAAGAACAAAAATAGCTTTGCAGGTTGAATTTCCTAATTCAAGGTGTCAACAAACACATTTAAACCTGCATTTCTGCCATACCAACATTCAGAGAAACTCTGCTTTGCTTTGTGTGGAATAAATAAACACATTCTTCCATTAATTCTGGGACTGCAATGCTTAGAGATATAGGTGAGAGAAAAAGAAGACAAGGCAGTGTTCTGGCATACCAGCAAAATCTAAACAGACAGGTGACAAGTTTGCTGAAAGCCAAAACTTATGCTGCCCAGACTGGTGCTCAGCTCTAAGACTGTGTCCAGAGTTAGAGTAACACAGGCCCAAGTGTGCTGAAAAGCCTACTAGGCTATGTATGTGTAACTTGAAAACAAAAGCTGGTCTGAATTAAAGTAATGAGTATATTTTAAATGAAAAGTCAAAAAAGTTCAGAAGTTTTCTTCTGTTGTTAAAATCATAAATAGTTCAATGGTGAGGTGTAAAAACCACCTGCAAGAAAGTTCTGACTTCCATGAAGCTTATTTTGGATAGTTAGAATAGTAATTGAAAATTATCATAACTAATTTTTCTTTATGCAATCCAATAAATTCTGCCTTGATTTGTATCATTAAAATGCTTAGTATTTGTGTGTTGACTTTGCAGCTACAAAAGAATAATGCAAACAGAAAAAGACAGAAACATACACTTCCAGTTTGACTTGAAACAAACCAAATCTGATAGATTTCTCTTTTTTTAACTACATGTGTCTAGCTTCCAAAATTATAGGAGATGAAGCTAGTGCAGACTGCATCACAATTTCTGGAAATTCATCTTTGAATGACACAGATAATTATACACTTAATGTAACAATAGTTTTGTTTTATGAAAATGCTACAAATGTAAAAATTTCCAGAGTTCCAAGACTTCTTAAAAACAATAATCCTAAAGAAACATACAAAATGTGATTGTCCAGGGACACCTGTTTTACTTCATGTCAACCACTGTCTTAAACAGTGCAACTTGTATGCAACCATGAAGAAGATACTGTCAAATGTTCCCCTCTTTTCATCTAATTTTTTAAAGTATTTGCTGGAAGATTTTTCACAGAACAGTTCTAATGAGTAAAATTCAAAAAAGTTCAATGAGTAAATTTAAAAATCCCTCAGGAAAGAAAAAATACCTTCAACATAAAAATATCATCCTTAGCCTTAATTCAAAACTCCATTCAAAATAATGGATAGTGTGCTTTGAACCCTCAGCCCACCCACGTGCTTACCTCTCTTGTTTTTTTGAAATAAAAATACAGTACACACCTCAAAGGAGTGCAATTTACTACCTGGGGCTGCTCCTTATAAATCAATAAATTTTGTCTTCATTTACACCACCAATATATTATTGTGCCTCTGCTCATAACAGTAACTGAACAAACATTTCTCTGTGTTCAACTATTCCTCTTCAACACAAAATAGAGACTTCTTTAAATCCTTCATGGAGCAGATCTGCTTAGCCCTGCTTGAAGATTGAACCCTTCCTCCCCTTTGACCCCTGAAGTGCTTCTTCTCCTTTGAGTGCCAGTTGTGCATGATTGCTTGTAGATGCATTTAGAAAACACCTGGGACTGGACTAGTAAAACTATTTGTTTTTGAACTCGTGGTTTTTGTTGACAGTTGCTTACCTCATTATCTGACTCCACAAGCACTTGATCATATTCACTAAGAGCTACTAGGAACATGATAGATGTGACATTTTCAAAGCAATGTATCCATTTTCTCCTTTCTGATCGTTGGCCTCCTACATCCACCATTCTGCAAAATCAACAACCACATCAAGTCCATGAACACCTTAACATATAAACACCCAGCCACAAATGCAGCAAAATTCAAGGATTTAGTTAAAAACAGTTTGCTTTGGTTTTCTTAATGATTTTTTCCCCACTGCTATTTAATAGAATCTGTTATAAGTGGACAGTTTTTTGTTTCCTTTAAGTCCAATGGGTTTTCTGTATTTGAACTATTGTGAGTCTCAAACCCCTCAGAATTATGGGATATAAAGGTCTCATGAGCAATGACTTCGCAATGTATGCCCCATGTATTCAGCAATAAACAAAAAAAAGACGGTGGACCACCTTTTTCTCCCCCACATACCAGAATCAAAATCCACAACTTGTTAAAGCTGCCCCATTTTAAGCAAATAGAAAACAATACATATCGACTAAAGGCTTTGACAGCCAAAATCAAAACTCATGTTTGCTTGCAGTGTATTCCCATTTCATCCCATGTCTCAGTGTAAACATGTGTATCTAACTTGTAATTACAATTCTGTAGTTATATTTTACACAATTATACTTGCGCTAAAGTAGGGTGGTATCTCTCTAAAAATCAACTAAACAAAGGGTAACCTTTTATTCCATAATTTACATGAATGACAAGGACATACGGTTGTATTTTCAGATTAGTATGCATAGTGAAACTTTGATATATATTATTGAAAATATTAATTGCAGGTTTTCTGTTAGTAAAAACTACCCTCAAAAATAACAAACCTAATTATCCTTGATCCTTCTGACATCTTTAACATGAGATCCTAAATACATGTGGACAATTGCATGAAGATAAATTCACTAAGCTCAAATTTTAGAAACAGAATAATTGCTTTTTATGGAGTTTAAAACAATATTCTTACTTGGCATAGCTAATGTAAAAGGAAACCAAAGAAACAAAGTGGGTGCTTAAACTTTTTTCCTACCTGAAAATGACGCTTTGTAAATCAAATGGATATTCAATGATCCCTGTTGTTGGGACTCGAACTCTGAGCACATCTTGCTGGGTTGGCAGATAGGTGGAATCTGCTATGCGGTCCAAGTCATTAAGATAGCTATAAACAGGGAGAAACAACAGGAATGCTAGACAGTGACACCATCATCCCACTGAGGAAAAGAAAAAGGAAAACTTGGGAAGGAAGTGGGCTGTGGGGTAGGAGAAGTACAACAGAAAAAGAAAAAAGCATTATCGGCAGAAAAGAGGGGGCAAAATACAAAAATGTACTCCATCCCCACTTACATAGGTTCAAGCAAATTCTACAAGAAAGGTAGCATAATTACTATGGGGTTTTTTTATCCCATACAACTTTGCTTGGCTTTCACATGTAAATTCACCAAAGATGTCAATTACATAATTCTAGGAAATTCAGAGGCATAGTATTATACAAAGTGTGAAAAATACAAAATTGCTTTGAATCCGTAACATATTTCTTGATATTCAGTCTGTAGCGCCAACATATACACACCTAGACAAACTAAAATGAACCTTCCAAAAAATAATGGACTGCTATAGAACAGATAGAGGTCTATAGCAGTCTGGTGTAACTGACTGGTAATAGATCATTAACAGTTATAAAATGACAGGAAGACAAAGAGCACTGTTTTGAGACCAAGTTAAAAATGGAAAAGACCAACCACTCACAATTAAAATACTCTCCAGATCTTGTTACCAGAAGGCAGCACAAACTAATTATTGGGCTCTCTGCATTCACACTGAAATTTCTGATTGATAAGGTTGGTACATCTGCAGTACTTGAAACACACTCCGGCTGGCCAGCAAATAACCCAAAATTGTATAAAATTGCTTGTAAAGGTTCAGGAACTACAACATAGACCTATTCTGCTTATTGGTTAATGGTGAGTTTTAACCATAAAGCAGCACTATACTGAAGGTTTTAATTAGCTGCCATGAAAAACATCCTCCAAAAAAAGAAGATACCCATGTGTGTCCAGGAGACACACATGGATATCTATCTGGACATCTAATGAAGTCAGTGTGCCAGGAAGCTTACACTCTAGGTGGACATATGGCAGGACTGCTGCAGGAAACCAAGTTCTTTGTCATTTGCTAGTACAGCAGAAAAGTAACCTACAGTTAGCCACTGAGAAGATAAACTAATGTAGGGATCCCCACATTCATTCTAGAGGGACGAGAGCAAAATTTTTGTAGTTTATTAAATGATGATGAAGTGTCACCAACTTCTGAATGTGTTTTCTCCTTGTAATTAGTGACAGCACTCTTTTAAAATAAACCCACACAAGAAATAATCAGACCACTTCTAGATGTTCTGAATTACTTTTTAATAAAATAGTAAGAAGTTATCCTGAACAATGACAGAAACAAACAAGTTTAATTTCTACCTTACAGTAAAAATAGAGAAGACTCTGTTAGCTTTGGGAAGAGCCAAATTATTGTTGGCTCAATTATAAAATTATCAAATTTTCTTCACTATGTTTTATTAATGGAGTATCAATTCGATAGTAAATACCAATGTGAGAAAGATGTATTGAACACTATCTTGGTTATGCCAGAGGGTACTAGTCTGAAAATATTTTCTGAGAATGCTAATTGGTTTCTGGCAGTGAGAAGAAGGTTTAAGAGTCTGAGCACTGGATCTGCCATCAGAGGTTTTTTACACAAAAATAAGCAGGAACAAACTCACCATCAATCTGTTGTCAGAAAAAGAAAAAAATAAAAGTGCATGAAATCCATAAGCATCACCATAAGACAGTGACAGACTATGAACTAGATTTTTATTCCCTCCTACCTGCAGAACAATTAGTTTTATTTTGTGATGAAATTTTGGAAGGAGATAAAGAAGGATTGCCAGTCATTACATGCTATACTGGTATTCACAAGAGCAAGAGAATTTTAACTGAATAAATTGGCAAGTGGCCCAACTACACAGTGTCTTGTTGCATTCCTTTGGCAAGGTTTACCTGTGGTCTCCAAGGTGAGCCCAGTTACTGCATCTTTTCATAGAGGATATGCTACNAGGTGATAAATCAAAGGGATAGATACTATTGAATTGTTACATCTCATTTGTGTTTCTAGGAATCCATAAATGAGCAGATGATTTTTTTTTTTTTTTTTTTTTTTTTTTTTTCCCTAAGTTTCAGAAACACTACTTTATCCTTAAAAAATACTTACCTTTTTCTTCTCCTCATCCTTTATGCTCAAGTTCTGCTTATTCAGTAACCAAACACAGGTCACTCACTACCTTTTCACTCATTTCACCTGTAGCTCCCTACAGAGACTCCTTATAAAGTCTTACTTAATTCCCTGGATTTTTTCATTTAACAAGTTAAAGAGTGTAGGGCTCTCTAAGAACTGTCCTGAATTATACATTCAAACCCAGAATCAAGGAATTAGTGTCAAAACCAGTACCAGTAGCTCATAGAAAAAAAAAAAAAAAAGAAGAGAGAAATTAAAAAGCAGCCTAAGCTTAGCCACAGCAGTGGAAAAAAAACCAAACCAAAACAAAAAAAAAAAAAAAAAAAACAACCCAAAAAACACACCAAAACAGAAGGATGCACCAAAACCCTAAAAAAAGAGAAATTCTGACAATCATAATCAGAATCTACAGGCTAACAAAAGTCACTTAGAATACATCCTGCTTTTTTGTTTGTTTGTTTGTTTTCCAGTAATATTTAGCCCCATCTCTTTTTCTTCTAACTTAAAACTTAATAAATTAACGTATTATTGTTTCAATTTATTTAAATGAAAATATCTCAGGTCTTAGGTGCACAACTTGAAGTCTTTTATCATTGCTATTTTAATGCTGTGACCATACTGCAAATTTTCAATTAAATTCTTCATAGATTGAAAAAAATTGTTTTAGTTTTGATTTGTGGTTTTCCTGTGTTTGGATTTTTTTTGTTGTTGTTTGTTTAGTCTTTTTTTGTTTGGGTTTTTCCTGTTTCTTGAAGTTTCTTTATATTTTATTTTAATAGGCTTTTAACTTCTGCTGAAAAATTACTTGTGCTAAAGTTCAGATTCAAATCAAGTTTTGCACAGCTGTTCTGAAGCAAAGGAACTCGTATTTTCTGCTACTGACAGTTCTGCAGGCAATTACACTTCCTGTTACCCCATGAAGATATATAACTTTGTGTTCTGCTATCAACTTCAGGGGGATTAAACATGTTTCTGAAAATCAAACTGAAAGCTCTGCTAGCAGCAGCAACACAAAGTTGCCTTCAACATACTCTAAATTCACTAAAAATACTGCATGCCTCTTTTAAAATTTACATAACCTCTAAAATAAATAAGAATTAAAAAACCCCTCTATTTTCTATAAGAACATCTATCACTGGGATTGACATCAGGGTCTTTCCTTTCCATCTTATGCACTGTTTTATATCATTGTCTAAAGACCTTTGATTTGACAGAAATAAAATGTTTCTTTTCAGTCAGGTGCACTCTTCCAAGAATACCAATGAGAGCAAATCAAAACACATAACCTCAATACATTGTTGTAACTTGTGTATTAATTGCAAACCACTACATCTCTAAATCCATGGTACTACACAGACAAAACCCAAGGCACATTCTCTTTATGAAACACAAGAATGGATTTTTGCATTGCACTAGAAGGGGTGTGGTGACAGTAGGGTTATTCTGAACAACAGGTTGTTGAGCTGAGTCACTATTTCAAAATGCTGAGAGGAAATATGTAAGTGAATGCAGATGACTACATAAAAAGAGAAGACAACTAGAATACAGTTAATACTTAAAGATATACTAGCAGCAAACATTTTTCACATAGTACTATTCTAACTATTACTGTAACATTGAGATTTCATTATTTAGCTTACCATGGTTTATTTACTGTCACAATAAAGACTTTTAATTTTAAATCTTTGTACCAAAAGAATTGGATATTTAACTTTTTTTTTACCCTCATGAAAGCTGGTGCTTAAAGAAATTCTCTGATCACCAGGGAAGTACAGCATTGCACACATAAGCTTTAAACATCCTACAGCTCATCAAACTAGTAATTTATTTATTTTTAAATTACTTTAGCAGGCAGCAACTTTAAATTAACACATCAAAAGTGCTAGCTAATGCCAATTGTCTTCTGCTTTCAACTCTGTTGGCTTCAGACTACCCTAGCTGCTCCTCTGCCTATCCCCAGTTGCCAGCTCTTTAACTTGTGCAAAAGCTTGATAGCAGATTTCTGTCAAAATTATTTGGAATAGTGAAGAAACACTATTGATATTGTTTAGATTACAGTTTATTTGGTGAATATGCCCCAGGATGTAGCACGTCCATAAACTACAGAAGCAAAGCAGGTGGAGTTACTTCCTCTGCTGGCTTATCTGCAACCAGAAGAAAATTTGTGAAGCCACGGCTATGTGAAATGTGTTTTTTAATGCAAATGGATGTGAAGTAAATTAAAATTTGATGGGCTTTTGTACGTATCTGCTTACTAATAAACTGATTCACTGTGGTTCTAAAACACTTAGCTAATGCAGCCCTAAAGTACTGACAACTATACTGCCCTCCTGGGCAAACAAATCCTACACACAATCAAAAAAAATTAAACATAAGAGAAATGCACAGCATGTTTTAGGGCAGATGCTCAATTTGAAATGAATTAGCACATAATGCAATCAGGCTCACCAATGCATTTAACTCCCCGATGTATACTAGGACTGGCTACACATGTACTCTTGCAAGCAAACCACAAGACTTGACCTAGCTACAATCTTACACAAAAGGAGAGTAGCCAATAATTGCACAGACCAGGTATTTTTCCAGTTTATTACCTTAATTTTAAAGTTGTAATAACAATATGGTTATAGGAAATAATCTGGAAGCCATCCTGAGGTCTAGTTCAACACTGAGTAACTATTAGCATTACCACAGGAAATTTGGTTGTACAGGAAGGAGCAACTGGGCAAGACATTTAGGTCTCAGCTACATGGTACTCAGAGTTCATTCCCACCACCTACTGAGAAATCGTGTTTTGATGAGTCACACTGTAGCTATATGGCCTCTCACCCAAAGAGTACCTACTCATCTAGGCATTATAGAAAGGAGAGAAAATGAGAA